TGAAATGGGAAACGACGTCGTCTCTATTAAATGAGACTGGGTCGGTCTAAGGTTTAAACGGGTGGGGTGCTAGGGAATGCCATGGGATCGTTGGATCAGATTGAACGGATGGCTCAGAACAAACGCCTTTATACGACGTCGTTTGGGGGGGGTGCCTGAGGCCTGGTTTGGACTGGGTCAGATGTAATTGGTTTTGGGCCTCATTTTGGGGCCCAATCTGATTTTCCACAAGTTTTCCCCTTCTTCAATTACCAAAATTGAACTAAACTCCTAAATAAATTGTAAATATTAAAAATACAATTACACACATATTGGTTAACACCTTATAATAATTAACACACAGTTTTAACATTAAATAAAAATCACTCAATGACAAAAATATATATTTTTGATTTTCTTTTTCTTTTGGAGTAACTTCCGTGAAGCAAAAAATCACGTGCTTACAACTGGCAATATGGAGAACGTAATAAATAATATGTTTGGAGGATGGAAGTACATTACAAATCTGGAACACCATTATAATGGTCGAGTAGTTGTAGCATGGAGACCTGATTACTATCAAGTCAGGTACATAAGTGGTACTGCCCAAAGTATAACATGCCTAGTTACAGATGTTGTTCAGCAGAATGAGTTTTATATGATAGCTGTGTACGCTTTTAATATAAAGAAAGAAAGAAGAAGTTTATGGCAACACTTAGAAAGTATGAATGGAGGAATAAAGCAACCATGGTTGGTAATAGGAGATTTCAACTCTATCCTGCAAGCAGATGATAGAATAGGAGGAAATTCAATTACTATGGGTAAAGTGGTGGATTTACAAGAGTGTATTGACTCTTGTGAACTCATGGAATTACCATGTGGAGGTTGTAGATACACATGGAATGACAAACATGGTGATAATAGAGTCTTTTCAAAATTTGACTGGGCTTTTGTCAATAGAGAGTGGCTGGATTATATGCTAGTGGTTCAGGCTATATATCTAGTGGAGGAATAAATGATCATTGTCCACTGAGGATGAGTAAAGATACAAGAAGGAGGAAGAGGGCTAGAGCCTTTAAATTCTGTAATGTGTGGGCTTTACATCCTTAGTTTAAAGAGGTTGTAACACAAGAATGGCAACAAAAAGTAGCAGGGTATAATATGTTTCAAGTAATTAAGAAACTGAAGATACTAAAGAAGGCACTGAAGAAGCTCAATTATCAGCACTTCAGGAATATCTTAACAGAGGTAGAGGAAGATAGGACATCATTAAACCAAGCTCAGAATAGATTGCATTCTGACCCCTATAATAATGCTTTACAAGAATAGGAGATAGCCATGTATCAGAAATTCAGGAATTCCTCTTATCTAGCAGAAATGTTTTTATTACAAAGGAGCAAAGCAAGCTGGATTAAGCTAGGAGATGACAACACTAGGTTTTTCCACTCAGTAATCAGGCACAAAAGACTGCAACAAGCCATTACGCAGATCAAGGATCAACATGAGGAATTAGCAACAGATAATATAAGCATAGCAAATGTTCTGGTAGACTACTATGAAACTATGCTAGGAAAGGAAGGAAGAAGAAGAGCAAAAGCATTTCATAGCTTTCTGAAGAATGGCACTACACTGAATTCTACACAGCAGGTGAAACTCATACAACCATTCACAGTCAAAGAAGTGAAACATGCTATGTTTAGTATAGATGTGAACAAAAGTCCAGGTCCAGATGGTTATGGAAGTGGTTTCTACAGGGATGCTTGGAGTATCATTGGTAATGATGTTACTGCAGCAATATTGGAATTCATGGAGAATGGAAAATTGTTAAGGAAAGTCAACTCAACAGTAATATCTTTGATTCCCAAAGTCCCAGTCCCAGAGTTTGCAAGTCAATTCAGACTAATTTCTTATTGCAATGTCATATACAAATGCATTTCTAAGATGTTGTGCAAGAGGCTTAAGAAAGTTGTATCAATACTAGCAGCTGAGAACCAAGCAACTTTTGTTGAAGGTAGATCATTGATTAATAGTGTCCTTATCTACCATGATTTACTGAGACACTATAATAGGAAAACAACTCCTAGGTGACTTATGAAAATTGATTTGAGAAAGGCATATGATATGATCAACTGAGATTTCATAGAGGAAGCTCTGAAAGGATTTGGATTTCCAGATTCATTCACTAAACTGGTGATGACTTGTGTGACTACAACCCAGTTCTCTATAAGAATTAATGGACTGAATTAGGCTCCCCTTGGTTGGAATCTTTAATTTCTGATATTTTTTTTTTCTTTTCTGGTCTGTAATAAACTGTTGGGGTGTTAGAGAAAAGGGAGGGGAACTACGCATGCAAGGGGTAGATATAATGCCTATAGGGTTTATCATTTATAAAATTCTGCATCTCATCTAGAGAGCAGGCCTATAAAGATTACTATTTTCTAAAGTTATGCATTTTATAAATCACTGAAACTCTGCATTCTCGTATAGATACCATGTCCATAAGATTTTCTACATTCTCACATAGATACCATGTCCATAAGATTTTCTACATTCTCATATAGATACCATATTTATAGGATCTTCTGCATTCTCATATAGATACTATGTCTATAGAGTTTTCTATAATTTCATAATAGATTCCATACCTGTAAGTCAATTCTAAAATTCTGCATCTTCATATAGACACCATGCCTATAGGACTTTCTGCATTCTGCATCCGTCATTAGGCAAACCTATTATAGGATTTAAATAACTAATCAATTGCATGTAGACAACATGCTTATAGGATTCCTGTATAAACAATAACAGTGCTCAAATCAGTAACACTTAGAAAGCATGTCTATAGGAGCTGTTAACTAAACTTGAATTGCCAATTCGTCTAAAATCAGTAGCAATAATGCGTTAACACCTGCAGAACTTATGCTTTTGTAACTAATAAATCTTTTCTGCAATCAGTTTACTCTCTTTGTTTTTTCCTGAAATTGATAGATATCATGCCTATAGGTTCTGTTTAACGCCTAGGTAAGCCTTATGGTAAAAACTATAATTGCATCAGTCTTTGATAATTACAACCAGCAGGCAGGCCTAATTCAAACTTCTTATCTGAAAATATATGATAAATCAGTCTTCCTTAATGTTTAAGTTTAATTCAAACCTAATCAGTACGTGTAAGACATGCTAAACTATATGATTTCTCTGATTTAAGGAGGTTTATTTGAGCCATATCTGCTTACTTGCTTTCCCAATACTTGCTGTATATGTTTTTGAATATCGCCTTAGAATTTTATCCTTTTGAAAACTCTGAAAAAGCCCCAACTCCCTCCCCTTTAGGATTAGTAGTCTCAATGCCTCCGAGACTGATAGGATTGGGATGGGTACTAGCATGCAATAAGTAACAAAACTTTCTGCGCTTTAATACCTTAACGGCGTGGGAAGGGTAGATATGGATATGATGACCGGTGCGCTAATATCACGTGCGACCCCTCTTCTGAGGAGTAATTGTTGGATATTGCATTGAAGTGATCCATATTAATCATAAACCTAGGACCCCCTCCCTTTATTTGCTTTCATCTCTTCTTGTAAAACTATTCAAATTTTTTTCATAAATTTCTGCCCTCTCTACTTACCTTCAAAAGTTTTCAACCTAATTGTGTTGTTGTATGCAAGTCTTTATTTGAGCCTTAATTATTTACTTGTAAAGTCACAATTGTAACATGGTCGGGACCACACTAGTGGATCTTAAGGGGTGCCTAACACCTTCCCCTCGAGATAATTTCTAGCCCTTACCCGAACTCTGGTTTTTCCAACTCAAACCTTTGTTAAAGTGTCCTAATGCACTATAATCATTAGGTGGCGACTCTTCAACTTCTAAACACAATTTTCGAAAGGGAATAGAGTTGTCCTCCTAATGTCGTATACCCAATTTCGACCAATAGAAAAAGGAGGCGTCGACATTAGGTAGGGGTAAGGTCTGCGTACAGATTACCCTCCTGTTGGGATCAAACTGGGTTTGTTGTTGTTGGGTTTGTTGTTGACTAGTGTTCCCTTGCCAGGATTTTATTGTGATTTCATTTATTTCCTTGCCCTTATTTCTTGGAATTATTGTTTGGGTGAGTAAGAGTGTTAAAGCACAAAGGGTGATGCCGTGTATGATTTTGTGAGGAAGAGTGTAAAAGCACAAAGGGTGATGCTGTGCCGCATGATGTACAATTCCGTGTCGATTATATTGATTTTATGGTAAGGACGAGAGTAAAAGCACGAAGGGTGGTGGCGTGCAGATTATATTGATTCTTATGGTGAGGACGAGAGTAAAAGCACGAAGGGTGATGTCGTGCACTTGTCCTTATTTTTTCTAATTCTTGTTGATAATTGAGTTCGGTTGTCCTTTACGCTTATTTACTGATTTTTTGTTGTTGCTTGATTTTATTTTGATGTTATTGATTCCCATACCATATTTGCCTTGTGATTGTTTCTTGGGTGAGGAAGAGTGTAAAGCATGAAGTGTGATGTCGTGTACTATTTTGGTGAGAGAGTGTTAAAGCACGAAGGGTGATGCCATGCATTATTTTTGTGAGAGAGTGTTGAAGCACGAAGGGTGATACTGTGCACCTGTCTTGATTTTCCTGATTTTTATTGATAACTGGTGTAAGCACGTGATTTTTGCCCTATGAGAGAAATACTCCCAAAAAAAATTCAAAATAAAATAATTTTCCTTTGTGTGCAATTTTGAGAATTTTCGT